AAAGCCAAACTCTGTATCTTCCCCCTCAATTTGATCCTTCTTCAAGCTTTACCACTTTAGTGAAGGGCTCAAGACAAAAACCTAGATGTTCTTGCCATTACCTTAGCACACATCCACATCCACTCTTTCATCCTTTATTTCTCCACCTCCCCAAACCACCACCCCGAGTCATCATCACTTTGTAGCTAGAAAGCTGCAATAACCTTCTAACTGGTCCCCCCACACCTGTTCCCAAGTGTCCTCCAAGCCATGCAACCAGGGTAGCCTTTCAGAAATCCAAATTTGTTATCATTCCTCTGATGAAAATGGCTTATTACTCTCAAGATAAAATCCAAATTCATTTGGTAGCGCTACCTGCACTACTCCTTGCTCACCCCCACCCTGCTCCTTCCCACCTCATCTGGGACAAGTGGTTCTTTCTGCTATAACATTTCCCCACTCACTCTTGCCCTGCACAACTCCTAATTGTCCTTAGTTTCTCAATCTAAATGTCAGCTTCTCAAGGAGTATCCACCCTCACCCCTTACCCCATGTTAGGACCCCATTCATTTTTCATAACCCTCCTTACGTTCTCCCACTACACTTCCCATGCTGCATAATTATATATTGATTTGATTAATATTAACAGTCATTATTTGCTGACTCTCGTTCCTCCGCCCCTTCGCTTTCCCCCCACTAGACTGGCAGAGGCTTGCCACCCTCCACTCCACCCTCCTGCCTTTAGCGCTGCACTTACAGGTAGTAAGCGCTCAAGGAATGCGCTTAATGGGCTAATAAACGATTCCTGACTCGTTCAATCCCCATAACAACTCTATGAGGTAAGCATTTCATCAGACCTAGGGAAGCTGAGAGTCGGGGTGGGCAAGTTGCCCAAGGTACAGGGAAAGGGGAGGAGTCAGGTCCTAAGTTCTGAACCCGATTTCTCCGCTCCTGAACTTTGGCCCCTTTGTGAAAGGGCCAGGGAGAGGGTGGACTTTGAGCCACGAGGTTTGCCACGGATGACACAGGGGATCCACGCAGGGAACCGGAATCAAGAGCTCACCTACGAAGACTAAGGTACGCCCCCTCGGCGCTCCATGAGTAAGGATCACAATCTGCTGCATATGCATGAGGGGACCATGAGGCCGTGATTCGGGACTACCCGATATGCGCCTGATTAAAAATTCTTCGGGCTTGAGGACTTGAGAGCCCCCTCAGTTCCTCACAGACACATAGAAAATTTTCGAGGGCGCATCTGAGGCGAACATTGAGGGGATATCTGGCAAAGACGACCCTAATCTGGGGTTTATGATCAGGCGTCTTCTGGGGGCAGCCCAATGCCAGGAGGGGTCCTCGGTCTGCTCCCCTAGAAGACGAAGGGGGCGTCTCCCCGGCTTCCTGCGGCGTCGGTGGCGAGCTGAGGTGGAGGCAGGCTGCGGCAGCGAAGGCGACAGTGGCGGCGGCGCCATGGCAGGGCTCGCAGGTACCGTGGCGTCGGCCCCCTGGGGACGGGATGAGAGGCCCTCAGTGTGGCGGCGCCGCCATGTTGTCCCTTCGGGGTCACCTTAAGGCGTGCCCGGTCCCTTTCTGGGGTTTTCCTTCCGCGCACCCAGGGGGCCACCCCTGTCCGGTGTCACGTGATTGCCCTGTGTGGCCCCAGCCTGGGCCTTGGGGGCCCTTCCGCGGCCCGAGGGCGAGTCACCGGACCCCTGGGTCTCGTTCTGGCCTCCAAGGTCAGTGCTCGCCTGTCTGTTCCCGGGCCGGGACAGGCTGAGTCGGGGAGCGCGGGGCTGAGGGGCGCGACTGCCACCTCTTCGGCCCAGGGGCCCATGGCAGGGGGCCCAGCTTCTGAGAGTCCTGTTACTCTGTCCCCGCTACTTCAGTCGCATTTTTTAAAATCAGAAGGGGCGTGGGTGAGAGGGGCGAAAGGGGGTCTCCCGCCCCAGGCACCCGCTTTGGTGTCTAAGGTGATGGGGTCATAGGTTGACGCTCTGCTTTGAGTCGCGAGTGTTTCTTACTCTCTCGTAACTTTACATCAAGTCTGGACACCCGTTTCCTTCCCTCCAGTATATATGGGGAGTGGCCTTCAAGGCCAGCTGAAGGAACGGAATGCCTGGCACACCAATGGCCTAGAAAGAAGAATGGGGGATGGGGAACAGTTCTTTATCCTTACCCCTTCCAAACCTTCTGTATGTTCCTTCCAGGCCTCCGTGTCCCTTTTCAACGCTAAATGTTGGGACAGACTGGGGTCTGTCCTAGGGAGGAAATGATCTTTCTGTTTATAGGTTCGGATCGTGTTTTATCCCTTTCAGGGAGCTGGTGTGTTGGGAACAGCTTCTGTTTGCCCTGCCTGACATGGTCCAACCATCCCCTCAGCCTTCTGGACAGCAACACCAAAGCCAGGACAAAAAAAAAAAAAAAAGTTCCAGCTTAAGTGCTAATGCCAAGTGTTAGATCTTGTTTATTTGTTTGTTTTAAATCAGAGACTAACCTCAAGCAAATCTGTTAAAAGATTCAGAGCCCTGGTCAGTTTCCTGTGACCAGATCAATTCCGGATCTGTAATTGGTCTTGTTAGAATTGCTGCCAAAAACAGTTTAACCTTTTATCTGTAATATGTTGTTTCAAAGAGGAATCTGGAAGTCTGGGTTTGGCTGTCTTTTTTTGTTGTTCTCTTATCTTTGAAACATATGCATTCCATTTCAAGCCTGTCACTGTGTGCTATACCAAGGACCATGTGTTGCCTGCCTTTTTGACTTCCTGTTCTGGGAATGCTCAGGAATCTGGATCCTGCTGGGGTATGGGCCCTGTTGGGAGGGAGAAGGGGTGGAGGGGAGGGTGAACAGGATCATTCCCAGAGAAGATGGTGACATGTCTCTGGGGCATATAGAGGAAGTCAGAGATCACCAGGGAAAACGAGACTGTTGTTAGACTAATGTTTTGTGTGTTGTGTGCGGTTTGTGCACTTTTAAATCTCTGGGGGTAAAACTAACTGCAAATTCAGAATCTCACTTTAGGGTGCTGGCTCCTGAGTAGATACAAGTTTGAAAATAGATATGTAGCACATGGCTCACAGCAAACCTGCTCCCTCATCCAATGCAGGTGTAATAAGCTGTTGCTGTCCTGCAGCTGAAGCTTAAGAAGCTTGGCCCCCCACCTCTTCCTTCAGTCACAATCCAAATACTCCACAGATAGAGATAGCAGTGTCACATGGCACCCCACACCTCTGAAAGTCATGGTACCTACCCCCCCACCCCCCCTTGGAGCTTAACTGGTTAGGCTGAGACACTGACCTCCTTCTTGGAGCATTAGTGCCAAAAGTCTTGCCTTTCCAAGGCCATTCCAATCCCCGCACAACTCATCTGCTATATCCTTGGTTTTACAGGGGCAAAGCCTTTTGGGGGTGGTAGAGACAGTTTAGGAAAAAGGGAGGCTTGTGGACTAAGGGCCTGCAATAAAATTCTAGTCATTTTTAACTTCTGCCATTGCTCTCTATCAGAATAAAATGTTTTAATGGCACTGCTTCTGGAAAAATTTTTATAAACAAGGTGTGTTTGGACCAGACTTCTAGGCACCACACAGGAATAGAAAGTGGACGCATTCCTTCTGCCTTCTCCAGTGGGTTGTTTGCTGCCAGAACATGAGGGTTTGGGGATGAGGGATGAAAGTGGGGGAGTGGACACTGCACACTCAAACCCACCCATGTGGATGCAGGCCACCAGGACAGCCCTTGCCTGGAAGTCTGTCATCTCACCATGCCACTTGGATGGATGGATGGATGGAGAAGCCCCGCAGATGGGCTTTGCCAAGATTATCTGGAAAGCCCTGGGGCTGCCAGCAGCCTCCTGCCTTTTAAAGGGGGTACAGGAGGCTAAGGGGAGCATGCTCTGTCCAGAACAGCCAGACCCTTCCATACCTGTCTATCTGAACTCAGCTACCTTATAACTGGGCTGAGGTTAGAGCATGTGGGACAGTGGGACTGTGGGCATACCCCTTGAAGGCTCTGAGGTGAGGCAGTCTTCATTGAGAACACATGTTGAAACGTTCACGGTTCTGTGGGCTTAGTGTGGAAAACCACAGCAACTCCCAGTCTTGAGGCCTGCCAAGAAATGGCTTCAGAAGGGAGGTGTGGGCATTGCCTGCTGATGAGTCACCCTGGGGCAAGAGGAGACCCACCTCACCTTCAGGCTAAAGTAGAAGCTGGAGCCACCCAGCCTAAGGAAGATGGGAGTCTCTGATTACACATCCTCACCCCAGTTCCCATGGGTCCTGATGGCCACTTTGATGGCAGAATGTTTCTAGTATCCTGGAGTTCACTGGGATCTTAGCAGCGCTTTTATAGAGGGGAACTGAAGGTGGGGGGTAGGAGATGACCTAGCCAGTTTCCCTGGGCTGATTGATGACAAAGCCCAGTACCAGAACTGAGGTCTGTACCCTCTCCCCCCATAATTCTCTGATGCCGTGCTAAAGATATAGGTACCTCTGGAGGTGCCGGCAGTGGGGTTTAGAAACTTCAGGGGTTGCTTAGAGGAGGGGAAATATCAGGCTCAGGGGGCAAGGTGCTTTGTGCTCCAGAAGTGTTTGCAGCAACTGTGACTAAGGGATTTGAGGAAGTGGCAGAGAGATTTATGGCCCTCCAAATCCTCCCTTGGTGTTGACCCAGGAACAGGTGTGTAGTGACAGGGACACATTACGCCAGAGACGAGGCTGAACAGGCGGCAGGGCCATTTGGTGAGGCAGTCAGCTAACCATGTGAAAGGAGTCCTGACTCAAGAGTGAAAGAGGGGAGAAAGAAGTCAGGAGCTGAACAGCCAGCCCACCCGCCCACCTACCCTGACATGGCAGGAGAGAGCCCAGGGCCAGGGACCTGGTAAGCACCCCTAAGAATATTGAGGCTAATGCCAGAAGTGGAGAACCCACTAATGGGGAGAGCTAGAGAGAGGTTCCCAGGTGTCGGGGAGGAGACCTGGAGAGTACTAAGGCAGGGCAGAATGCCCTTGTAGTGGTCCTGGTAGGGGTTATAGGGCCTGGAGGGATAAGCTGGGCAGAGGAGGCACCACACCACACCTCTTATCCGATACTCATTATCAGCCAGTGCCCACCCTGCCCAGTGCTCATTTCCTTGGGGTTCCTAGATGGAGCTAAAGCTTTGTGTTCTGAAGCCCTGAATCACTTCCTTGGTCTCTAGTACCCCATCTTGAGGGTTATTCCCACCTTTCTTGCCTTCTCTCATCTTTCCTGCCAAGGTCCCTTATTCCAGGACAAGTGAAGGCATCCACCCCTCTGGGGAGGGTAAGGGGTCCTTTATTCTGAGACCACAAAAGATGTAGACGTTTCTTTTTGGGGTGGGGAAGTGTTCCTTTATCTCTCAGAATAGTGCTAAGTGAAGATGGAACTGGGTGTGTGAGCGTCCCAGCTTATTTCCCCTTTGTTCCCCTGCCCCAACAACGGTGCAGCAGCCCAGTCTTAAGGAGTATGTGTTGAAGCCGTGAAAGAAGTCACAAGAGACAGCTTTTTGGTGCACCTCCACCACCCCGCAGGGTCCTGGGACACGGTGCGAGATGGGGGAGGTACTGGTTTTTTTATTTTTTTTGTAGAGGTGGTCCCTGTCCTCCAGGAGCTTACAATCTAGCTGGGGAGACACAACTAATGCACACTTATACAATCAGTACAATTAGCGATTACCACAATATTGACCACAACTGCGTGAGACCAGGGAAAGCAAGATCAGTGAGGGGCTGGGGGCTTGGAGAAGGTGTTTTAGTGAAGATGGGATCATTTACTGGTTGAATAGGTCCAAATTGAGTGACACATTTCTTTGGGTTGACTCAGGAGGCAGTGGTGGGGGGAAGGGGATTGAGGGAGCAAAGGCAGCAAGGCTGGAATGCACGTGTTGGCGAGGGACAGTGAGCGGGCCCCACTCTGTTTCTTACCCCTCCTCCCTCACTCTCGCCCTCAAGTCCCGCCACAGAGGCACGCAGCTGGCGCCTTGTCTGCTGCATCGGGGTTCAGGGCTTCGGCTGGTGATGCTGGAATGTCCATTCTGCTGGCTGGTGCGGTTGTCTGGATCTCTGTGGTGGGGCCTGTTGGCATGGCCGTGGCTGCGGGGCTGGGATGGCACTGTCCCGACTTGTTCCAGATCAGAATGCATTGCCTGTGCCCAGATCTCGGGGGTATGCTCCCCCCACCCCCCCTCTTCCCTCTACCCCGCCCAACAGTCGGAGGGGTGCAAAGGGGTTTGGAAGGGATCTGGTATTGTCATCATTGTCGGTGCTGCTTCTCCCGGGGCCTACCGGCCCCTCACTGACCTTGGCAAATGCTCCTCTGGCGAGAGAGCACAGGGGACCCCCCATTCCTGCGCGGCACTGGCTCCCATGCTGGCCGAGAAGCACAGGAGCACCTGGTGACAAGGCCGCCCAGGGCTGGGGGCTGGGGCCTCAGTTGGGGGCTCGCTGCCGGCGCTCTCCCAGCACCTGCCGCCCGGTCCTCGACACCGTGTACGCCAGCTTCTGCAGGGAGTACCTGAACACCTGCAGCGAGAGACCCGGGACCTGCCCTTAGAGGCAGGCACCCGCAGCCAGTCTGCAGCGCTGCCGTGCCCGCCCCCACCCCACCCCCTGCCCCGCCTGCCGGTCGGACTTAAGAGAGGCAGGCGCGGGCGCAGCTTGTCCACGAGTCAGGGCAGCTGGAGCTTTTCCAACTGTGCTGAAGGCTGCATGGCAGCAAGCTGATTGGACCCACAACTTAGGTATACCTCACTTCTCGCAATGGGCTGTGTCCCTGGAGGATTTCGAAAAGCGAATCCTACCCAGTAAATGCAGCATTCCAGGAACACCTTGAAGGAAATATGCGATTCCTTTGGCAAAGGATTCCTTTAGCAGGGAAGTCTTCCTGCAAGGGGTGCTTTTAGGGTAAATGATCTCATGGGCAAAGTGCTTTCTTCTGATTTATTTTTACAAAGCACTCTGCCTCTATTTGATTTTTTTTTTTTAACAAAGCGAATTGTCAAAATTGGAAGCGCTTTTTTTCTCCCATTTTTCCTGCAAAGAACCTTTTCTAATTGTTTGCTTCAAAGCGCTTTTTATCCGATTCATTTTTTTTCTGTTAGCTCCTTTGTCTAATTTTTTCTGCAATGCGCCTTTTATCTAATGCATTTTTTTCTGCCAAGTGCTTTTGCCTGATTTATTTTTCCTGCAATGCGCATTTTCTCTAATTCATTTTTTCCCCGCAAATTACTTTTCTCTAATTCGTTGTGGGTTTTTATGAAGTGCTTTTTTTTTTTCCTGAGAAGTGTCTTTTTCTAACTTATTTTTGGTTCCACCTTCGCAAGCGCTATATATATATTGTTTTAAAGAAATTTCCCCGCAATGCGCAATTTTTTAAGGCAGAAAATTTTGCTATGCGAGCGTAAAGTCTCTTCGCAAAACAGAAGTGCCCCGCCTCCCTCCTGGGGTAGAGCCTGGGGTGTAGCGGGTTTTTCTTACCGCGTTGGTCGCTAAGAGCCTCGGCGATCGTCAGCGGCTGGCGCCCGCCGCGCCCCAACTCTTTGTTCCCGGCCGGGCGCGGGCGCACTGGGAAGGGTCTGCGCGAGGAGGAGGGCGCAGGGAACGCGCGGGGGCACGCGGTGCCGACCGCGGCACTCAGGCAAGCAGGGATCGCGGCAATAGGATAGGAAGGGGCCGGGAGGCGACAATTGCGACGTGGGCCTGCCGGTTAAGGGGGCGCGCATTGGGACCCCTCGCCCACCCGGACCCTGGGCACACTTACCTGCAGCAGCACGCGGAAAATGTACCAGCCGATGATGAGCAGCTCAGCTGAGGCTGCCGCCACTGCCGCCATGGTTCCAAGAGCGGTGGTTGAGTGGTTGAGAGCGAGCGTGGTTCGGCAAAGTCCGCCGATCTCTCGGAGTCCGCTGTTGGGCGCACTGCCGCAGCCGCGGTGGCCGCGCCTTAAGTATCCGCCCGCCACCCAAGTGCGCATGCGCGTTTGGGGGTGTCCATTGAGGAGGGGTGGCCGGGGGCGCTCCTTATTCGCCAGCAGAGGAAAAAATAATCAATCTGCTCTTTCCACACCGACCCCCGCCTCCTGAGTTCCATCTTAGCCCCTTTCCAGAAGATTCCGCTGTGCCCGCTTTTGAATTTTAGTGTAAAATGGAGGGGAACTGCAACTCTTGAGTAGAGCAAAGGGCTGGAGTAGGGGGTGCACGCCTTTTGGCACGGAACTCCTCGGAGCTGTGGCCTGCAAATCCAAGCCCAGTGTCCAGTGGCACACCAGGCCCCCACCTTGGGCACGGGTGGAAAACCAGGAAAACCAACTTAGGGATCATCTGCCCCGCAGAGCAAAAAAAAAAAAAAGTGTCCCTTCCCGGAGCCTTGGCTTCATAGGCCCCTGGTCAGTACTCTTACTCTGGTATTTGATGTGCTGTAAGCCCGTGTCCTCTGCTTCCCGAGAGTCCCTGAGCACGGAACTTTTCTCTGATTCTTTGCATCCCGCTTCTTACGGTTACTACCACGGTGACGATTGAAAGGAACAGAGCCAGGGCACTGAGCTCTAGGCGCAAAAGTGGTAGTCACCGGGTATCTACCCTGTGGGAGGAATGCGGGAGGGATTGGCGCCTTTGTGTGCGTGGAAAGGATGGGATGAGCTTTCCGAGAAGTGGTCGAAAAATGCTCCAGGATCATTTCTGCTGGACAGGTCTTTTCAACCTCTCTCTCCTGCTCCCCTCCCCCCAGGCCCTGGTAGGTCTTAATGCAGCCAGCGAGGTTCTTTGTGCCCGTTGCACTGGGCAGCTGGAGCTTGGAATGGGGTTTTGCTACCGCCACCAGAGGGTTGTGGCTGCCGCAGGTCCATTTCCAGGCACAGCGGGAAAGACCGGAGCGCGGTCTGCGAGCTCAGCCCCAGCGCACTGGTGGCCCGCCACTGGAGAGCACCTCTCCAGCAAGCTTCCTAGCACAGGGGCCAAATGGCATTTGCCCCTATGTGGATAGAAATTAATTTTGATTAAAAGCTCACAGAGGTCAGGTTCTGTACAGCGCCAGCAGCAGATGGAAAGTGTAAGTGATCCAAGTGAGGCCAGTTTGGATGAAGTAGCATGGTGATTTTTTTTTTCTACATTGACTTTTGAAGAAGTTGGCTGGTTTTGGCAAAATGATGCTGGGCTGCCATCTTAAAAGAAAATATTTGGTAGTGCTGCCACCGCCGCCCCGCAGAGCGTGCAAGGACCCACTGCCTGCGAGCTCCAGTTGGCAGTGAGGTGCATTAACTCTCCCCTGAGCACCTGCTGTGACAGATACTAGATACAGAACCAAACCCTGTTCTTATTTTGTGGGGGCACAGCACGGAGCCCATGGCCATCCGGGAGCAACCACAGGGCGGTATTGTGAGGTCTGGGCCCCTTGAGGACGGGCTGCAGCCCCAGGAGGCGATACATGATCTCTGCTGGGCAGGGCCCAGGCAAAGCCAGTCCACTGTGCCAGACCTGCCCGAAGAGCCCTCTGGCTCAATTCCCTGATAAGCCCCGGGGAGATACCCCAAGAGCTTCCTGAAATGGTGATGTGGAAAGGAGTAGACTTCCATGGGTGGGCAGGGAGGAAAGGGCATTCACATTTGCTGTTGTTAACCATGATCCATTTTCCCAAATAAGTATACATTCTGTTCCTGTTTTTTTTTTTGTTTTTTGTCTGTCTGTCTGTTTTTTGTCTGTTTGTCTGTTGTGTTGACTTTTCTCTTCAGGATCCGTGCTGCCTTGGTGATCCCGGGCTGACAGCCAGAGAGCACAGCGGCTCAGCTCCTGGAGAGTGAGGGTTGAAGAAAGCGGAGGGCAGCTGCCTGCGCCCCCTGGCTCCCATTAGGTCGGTTCCTGCAGCGGTGCCCGGTGGCCTTGGTGAAGGCCCTGCCCAGCAGAGATCATGTATTGCCTCCAGTGGCTGCTGCCCGTCCTCCTCATCCCCAAGCCCCTCAACCCCGCCCTGTGGTTCAGCCACTCCATGTTCATGGGCTTCTACCTGCTCAGCTTCCTCCTGGAGCGGAAGCCTTGCACAATCTGTGCCTTGGTTTTCCTGGCAGCCCTGTTCCTCATCTGCTATAGCTGCTGGGGAAACTGTTTCCTGTACCACTGCTCTGATTCCCCGCTTCCGGAATCGGCGCACGACCCCGGCGTTGTGGGCACCTAACGGCCTGCCCAGTTAGCTTTCCAAGGAAGCAGAAGATGGGAGGGGAGGCATTGACATAGGTCATAAAGCATTGGAGTTTCAAATCCCGCAGCCCCGCGGGTGCCACATTCCTGACGGCGCCTTTCTTGGCCTGTGATGTTTTATCCTTATAATGTGAATAATGGCACTGACCGGTGCTTTTATTGTAGAGTCCTGTAGTTGTGGGTGGTCTTGTGATTGTGTGTGTTCTGTCCCCATCTCGGTCCCCCCCCCCCCACAGGCTGGCAGGATGGTCACTCCCCTCGCCTCATTCCTGCGAGGAGTCTGCGCCCATCCTAGTCCACCGTCCCAGCATGACCTGGGCAGATGAAATGCCAGTCTTGTCACCTCTGTGACCCTTCCTTGTCAGGGTCTCTTCCCATCCCAGAATGTTACCATCCCCTCCGTCCCTGTCCTGGTTTCCCTTTAGTTCTCTCCTACCCCTTTCCTTTTTGGGGGAGCACCTGTCTAAGACAGGGCTCATTTTTGCACTTATCTCGAATTTAAAGAGATTGCTGACGCCCGAGAGCCTCGCTTTTTCATCCTTCTTTCCCTGGTCAGCAGCCCAGACAGAAACGTGTCTTGACTGTTTGTTGTCCACAAATCTGCAGTATTTTTTCCACTTCATTTTTAAGAAAGAAGTAACAGATATCTGTTGCTCTTTCACCTGAGTGTCTGGGCTCATGCTTACCAGCCCAGCCTCACTTTCTTTGCCCTTCCTCCTGCCTTTCTCAATTGTCCCCAGGAGGGGGGCCTCACTGTGTCTCCCGTGCATGCTCTGCAGGATTGAGGTGTGGTGTGTTCATGTAGATGTAGCAGTCCCCAGAGTGAATGGAAGAGTACTCGTGTGTTTCATAACAGCCATGATCCCCTTGATAGGTGTTTGGATATTTTTGGTGTGCCGTGAGTGTGTGTGTGTGTGTGTGTATACAAATATATGTGTATATTCCTTTTAAAGAAGCTTTATCGAACGTGTTCTGATTTTGAGGTTTAGCAATAGCTAGCTATAGTAGGTGCTGCTACAGTTTTTATTTAGCATGGGGATTGCAGGGTGACCAGCACACTGGACTCCGTGGTGGTTCAGACAAGACAGAGGGGAGCGGTGGCCATCGTCCTTGTGCCAGGAGTTCCTTCAGTCCTGCGCATATAGACTGTACATTATGAAGAATACACAGGAAGACTTTGTGACTGTCACTTGCTTTTTGCTTTTTCTGCGCTTCAGTAACAAGTGTTGGCAAATGAGACTTTCTCCTGGCCCCTGCCCACTGGGGACCAGCATGGTTGTCCGTCCAGTCTCAGTCATCCATCTTTCTCTTGCCTGAGTGGGAAGGGCGGTGGGCCAGGCAGAGGACAGAACTGGAGGCAGTCCATCTAGGGAATGGGACCGTGAGGCCACACTTGTGGAACATTTGGACTGCTATTCTGGAGCTTTTATTTTCGGTGTGTTCGTTGCACAGCTGTTTGAAATGTTTAATAAAGCTTTATAAACTTTACTTTGTGGTTTTATGTGGCTGCAGTCCATTTGGGTTGTGGTGTTGGATTTCTGAGTTGGTGGGGGGCAGGGGGTAGCATGGAGGGGCTGAGTCCTTGGCGCCAGAGTACCTTAGCCTGAAAATTTGATCTGCTCTCTGGAGAGCAGATGGTGGGGTTGGGGGAGGGGAGGAGGGGGCAGGCCAGGCGGTGAACAGGAGGGAGTCTGAAAGTTTTTAGAGATGAGACATTTGTGTTTCTCAGCTCCCATGGCCTCTCGCCTGAAACTGTTTCCCTCCATAGGAGAGTTGAGTAACCGATCCCTTGACAAACAACTTGGGACAGCTGGAGCTCTAATCATCAAGGATTTTTATGGTGCTGCTTTTGAAGTAAAAATAAAGTGAAACCCCTTATGGCATTTCAAGTGGAAAAATAAATAAGACTGGCCTCCAACCAGGGGTCTTAAGGTGATGGCTGGAAGTGTGAGAGTGTGGCGGGTCCCTGTCATTGACGGGCACGTGCTCCTGTGGCTGTGACCTTTGAGACAAAGCAGGTAGCTTGTCAGGGACCTGGGCTGGGTGTCCACCTCTCACTCTCTTTTCCTTCCAGAAAACCTAACTGGAACACTGCTGTCCAAAGCACAGTGCTGTTATAAGGGTTTCTGGACATAACAGTTGCAAAAGGGCTTTGGTGATTTCATAGAAGGTCACATGTCTTATCTAGATTTTTAACTTACTGCTGTAAAGTTTTGTGTTATTTTCTCCTGCCCCTTTTAAATCTCCCCATTGTCAGTTTGTCCCTTTTCTCATTCCTAGCATTGTTGCTTGTCCATGCTTTCTCTTTCCTTGACCAAAACTTGCCAAAGAGTTATCCATTTTAAAGGTATTTTCAAAGAACTGAACTTGTATTGATTATATCTGCTGAGTATTTTCTGCCTGATCCTTTTGTGCTTTTACCTCTGAATTCTTCTTTTCTGGGTTTCTAGATATATTTCGTGGTTCAGCAAAGTCTTGACAAGCTGAAAAGTCCTACCCGTGGAAAGGAGCGTTTATTCAGCAAACATTGAGCCCCTGTACGAGGCTTGCTGGGGATTTCAGGGGCAAGACCCAGGCCTGACCCTCCAGGAGCGCATGATTCTAGCCTAGTGGGGAAGACTTAAGAAAATAGACAATTGCAAATTCCAAAAACAAGCAAACAAAAAAGGCTTTTGTGGCCCCACTCTCCTGTGGAGGCACCTGGATGATAAATGAAGCCAAGATTATTATTTTGCTCTCCCTCAGAAAGCAGCTTTCTGTCGTAGATCAAGCCTGCTTAAGTGTTACAAACAGGCCTCCTTCTGAAAGATGTGTGGCCCTTTCCAGCAGGGAGCCCCCAGCCCACTCCAAGGTGACTGCCAAATCAGCATTCTGTCTGCCCCGCAGTGCGGTGCGGCTTTCCACCTTGACCCTGCCTCCTCTTCCTGAAACGCCTTTCAGGAAAATGAAAAGTAGATACCTCTTCTGGAAAAGAGCAGGGGCACCGGGCCTTAGAAAATCACGCTCTGCAATCCCTCTGGATCCTGTGGCTCCCAGTATGAGACGGTTGCTCATGGGGTACCTGCTAACCCCAAGACCCCATGAAGCCTTGGGCTGGGCTTCTGTCAGAACTGGTCTGTACCCTGCTCTGGACCTGTTTCCTTATAGGTAAAATGTGGTCTTTGGAGCAAACAGTTCCTAGCTCTAAATACTGGGAGTCCTTCCTGGGATCTTCAGGTGCTCCTGGATACACTTGAGGAAGGTGACTGAGCTCTGGGAAGGTGGCAGTGCCCCTGCAGGACAGCCTGCTTTCTGCAGGCTGCTTTCTGCTAATGCTTTCTGCTTTAGTCAGTGTACCGTGTGAACCCAGATATGCCTCTGTCAGGAAGCCTTCCTGAACTTCGTCCCTTCCTCTTCATAGTGACTGGGTTCCTCCCACCCCTCAAGGGAACCGGCACTGTTATTCAGTCAGGGGGTACTTACCAGAATCTGTGTAGGGGCTAGGCCTGGGGGCCACACGAGGTGGATATCCCTGCCATTAGGGAGTCATCCAGGCTAGTGGGAAAGGGCATGACCTTGGGCAGACAGTCCCACCGATATGTATGAAACTATGAATTGTGGCAGATGCTATAATAGGAGTCTAAAAGGGGATCTGATGCAGGCCGGGGGAGGATTGGTGTTCAGGCTGAGACCTGAGGACAAATATAAATGTTTGAGCAGTGAAATAATACATGAGATGTTATTTCTCAGCATCTCATCAAGCATCTCTGTTCTTGAAGATAAAGAAATGGGACTGAAAGTAAAATGAAGGGCCACCAGTATCTGGCTGTCTTAGAATCAGCCCAGACGGCTTTTGGCAATAGAGGTCAGGCTGTTCAAAGCTTTGAGGACTCTGCTGGGAGATACTGAGGGGCCCAAGGCTGACATCCTGGTGGTGGGCCCCAAAACAATCCTGAGAACTCTTCAGTTTCCAGCTGACTGGAACCATCACAAACGAGGATCTGGTGGGAATAGGGGATAACCCAATCAGAACAGCATTTTTAAGGTGGGATTCTTTCAGCAAGGAATGGGGCAGCTAGCATGTGAGCAGTGAAAGCTACAGGGCTGTCAAGAAGGCCATTGCCCTGTCCAGCTCCCTGGGAACGGGGAGAAGGAGATCTCAGGCATACCAGTGGGTGGGGAGGGGAGGGCAGGAGCTGGGGAGGCTGGAGGATGGAGAAAGGTGATGGAAGGAAGGCTGCCTCCCATTGAACCGCTGCAGAAAAGGAGGCCAGAGAAGGGTTGTCACCAGTGTCCAATCCCAATCCCCCACAGCCAGTGCAAAACTTGCCCCTCACCCCCCACCCACCCCATAATGAGTGAAAGGGTCACCACTCTGAAAAGAGGGAAGAACTAAGAAGTGCTCTCCTCAGCAAGTGGTGGAAGGTGATCCTAACTCAGAGGGGCTGGTCCAACCTCCGCCCAGCACCTGCCTCCCCAGTGTCTTCCCAAAAGCCAGAAGAGGGGCAGTTTGGTCTGCCAAGCTTCAGAGAGAGAAGTCAGTAGCTTGAGAAAAACTGATTATACAGTGGGTTTGGGGAAGGGAGAAACCTGGCCAAGAAACAGCTGAAGGCTTTGTACAGAAGTCCTTGGTCTCCTTTGGGGTACTGGGACTCAAACGGTGGGAGTTGACTTGGGGAACAGTGTAGGACCAACAAACCTTGAGAGGAGAGGCTTCAGGGAGCCCTGGGTCCTATGCCCCCGCCTTTGTGACCATACCTCCCAGAGCCTGTTTCCTCACCTAGAAAATGGATATTATAATATCCACCGTAGCCTGGCTCAAGATAGAGTCTTCACAAATATTCCCTCTCTTCTGTGGCCCTCCGCCTCCAGCCCCTGGGCTCAAGCCTCTTAGGGATGCGATCTGATCATCCAACTCTCCTGCTCATTCGTTCATGCCAGGAGCATTTGCCAGGCCCTGTGCCAAGCTCTGAGAAGCTGATGCAGAACCAGACCATGCCATCCTTGAGCTCAGCTCAGTGAGAGGGCGGCACCCCGGGAGTCCCATTACAGTGCCATATCTGGCCTCTCACCTCTTTTCCTGGGCAGCTGGGAATCTACACTTGGCCGGCTCACCACTTCTTCCAAAGCTAAACCCTCAGGCAATTCCCTGCCCCACACTGGTGGTTGCAGCCCTCTAAGGGGGCCTGATCCCCACCCACCTCATTTCCCATATGACTTTGCTGTCCTCTGCTCACTCTTTTCCAGGCCTCTGTTTCCCCATGGGGATGCCCGGGAGGGGACTGGACTGGAAGTCTTTAACATTTCCAAAGCCAAGGGTTAACTTCACCCTTGTTATTTCATTACCCTTGTTACTTCTTAGAGAGTGAAAGAAAGTATGTTACAATAAGCAAGTGTTTAATGAAAGGATTTTTTGCATTAAAGAATAAACTTCAAATCTATTGGGTGCAGAATCTTAGAGTCAGGGCACACTCGGGAAGGTCTTTGAGGGAGGAAGACAGACAAAGCCCGGCAGTGGCTCCCTGTTGCCTGTGCTCCCAACTTCTTAGCTTGGCCATCAACGCCCTGTGTAACCCTTGAGCGTGGGTGCTCGGTCTTTGTCCCTTGGCCAGGCACAGGCCTAACCAGACCTGGCAGGGAACCTGTGGATTGGCTGGCCAGGGGGATGGATGGAGGGATGGCCCTACTCAGTCAATCTCTTGGACTTCCTAAGGACTTAGGTGACCCAGTCCTTCCTACAAGTAAGAAAATTCAGTTTGCCTCCCAATCTCTTCTTAGCAACTCTGAAGTGACAATATTTTCCAGCCTCCAGACTAATATTTCACACACAGATATCACAGAGACTACTATTTCTCAGATGTGTGAGAAGAACCTTATAAAAGGTTCCACAGTCTGGCATCCTCCCTCTGGCAACAGGTGGCTATGAGTCACCTGTCTTCCCTGAGCCTCAGTTTCCCCATTTGTAAAATGAGGCAGTTGGACTAGATGATCTCAAGTTCTTTCCAGCTCTAGCATCGCCCTCAGATGCCCTGGTGCCTAGGGCAGTCACTGGAGAGGGGGCATGGTGACTCCAGGATCCGCTGTCAAGTCCATATCTTGGAGCATGAAAGAATCGTGGTGATGGCTGCAGCCCCCAGAAGATGAGCCTGGCAGAACTGGCTGGGAGATTTTTCCGCTGCTGGTGACATGTCCTGGCAGAGTCTGTGCAGGTAGGTTGATGCAGGTGAGGGGCAGGGTTGGGCTCTCCCTTCTCTTGTGATCCCTGAGTAATGGTTGTTTGCAGGATCAGAAGCCTCCATGACTGGTGGGTGCCAGCTAGATTCAGCCATTCATATTGGCAAAACAGTTGAAACGTCTTTTCACACACTGTCCTGGCGGGGCTTCCAGAAAGGTTTTCTGCTCTCATTCCTTGAAGTCGTCTCTGTATTTCATTGTCTGTGCCTGGATACCTACCTTCCCATACCTTCCCATAGCTTTCCAGCCCCCCATCCATGTTCTGTGAGAACATTGTGGCTCTGACGCCATAACCAGCCAGGAATGGCTTATCCCAGAGCCAGAGCCATGACAGGAAGACTTATCCAAAATTGGGGCTCTGACCATTGAAAGAAAAATATTAATCCATTTCCAGTGTCACCTCAGAGCACACATCCAAGTTCAAATCCTATTTTAAAAGGTCAGAAAGGAGATACAAGCCCATTAAAAACCAGGGAAGAGGGGCGCCTGGGTGGCTCAGTTGGTTAAGCGACTGCCTTCGGCTCAGGTCATGATCCTGGAGTCCCGGGATCGAGTCCCACATTGGGCTCCCTGCTCGGCAGGGAGTCTGCTTCTCCCTCTGACCCTCCTCCCTCTCATGCTCTCTGTCTCTCATTCTCTCTGTCTCAAATAAATAAATAAAATCTTAAAAAAACAACAACAACAAAAAAACCAGGGAAGAAAGGAATTGGATAATTAACAAGCGTCTGAATGGGGAACCCCACTAAGGTAAAAAGCAACAAAATGACATCAAGAAGGCAAAGACCAACCAATCTGACTACATCAAAACTAAGTATTTCCAGAATCAAACAATATCACAAACAGAACCAAAAAGCAATGGGTAAACTATTTGCAGATCCATAATGTGTAATAAGAACACAAGCAAAACCTTAACGGTAAAAATGCAACAGAGAAGTGTATAATTCACCTAAACCGACTTTACAGAAGAGGAAATAGAACTGACTAAAAATTTTTTGAAAAAATAATCCACTAATAACTGAAGATCACCAATAAAAAACATGAGGAGGGGCACCTAGGTGGTTCAGTTGGTTAAGCCTCCAACTCTTGGTTTTGGCTCAGGTTATGATCTCAGGATCATGGAATTGAGCCCTGCTTCAGGCTTCGTGCTGCGTGCAGAGCCTGCTTAAGATTCTCCCTCCCTCTCCCACTCCCTTGCTCACATGCTCTCTCTCTCTCAAAAGACAAAAAAAAAAAAAAAGAAATACAAGTTTTCCCCCCAACAAATTAAGGGGGGGGAGTTTAAGAATACCCGATGCTGATGAGGATACAGTGGGCCATGCACTATTATTCAGCACTAAGGGGACTGTGAATTGGCATAAACTTTTTGAAAAGTAGTATGATAGTCAAAGAGAAGAGAGAACTGAAAGTTTCAAGAAAGGGCAAGTGGCCTATGTATTTATACATTTATTGTCTTCTTTGTGTCAGGCATGGTGCTAGGTGTTAAAATATGAAGATGAATAAGCTATGGCATATCTTGGGCATATGGTCAAAGAAGTAAGACACACAGATACTAAAATGATGTGTAGTAAGAAGGCCAGAGATGTGCTTGGGACATGGACAAAGCATGGAGCAGCTGGGATGGGTGGTACAAGTGTAAGGCTTTATGGGAGTATCTGGGGGGTTCCTAGAAGAGCTGCCTGGATGAGCGGGAGTTACTCAGGCAGAGGGCAGAGACAGAAGTTAGCATCATGGATGAGCTTGTAGACAGTTCAGGGTTGCCAGAGCATGAAGTAAGAAGCAGGGGATGCAGAAGGTGGGACCAGATCACATAGTGCCATGTCTGTCTAATTCAAGAGTTGGGTCTTTTTCCTCTTGACAAGAGGGGGCCTTTGAAGCATTTTGAGCAGGCAGGTGCTGTGGTAAGATTTGTATTTTAGGGTGATTATTCTGGTTACTTGGAGACATTTGGAGGGGCAAGGGCTAATGAGATGATCGCCTTGGTCCAAGTAGAGAGGGCAAGTCCTGAATTAGGGCAGGGGCCAAGAGGATGGAGAGAAGGGAAAATTAGAAAAACCTGCTGACTGACTGATGGCTGGGTTAAAGAAAGAGTCAAGGATGCCTTCCCTGTTTCTGTCTTGGGTGACTGTGTGGATGGGAGAATACCTAAGAGAAAGGACAGACTCAGGGGCTGGAGGAGGATTGTTAAGCTCAATTTTGGACAGGTTGAGTGCAAGGTGGGCGTCCAGGTGGAGGTGGCCTATAAGGAGCTAGGCAGAGGGTTTGGATCCAGAAGGAGATTTGAACGAAAGATTTGGTTTATAACTGATTGCGATTGTAGCCATGGGCTTTGGTGAGCTGGCCCTTGGAGAAATGGCAGCTAAGAAAAGAATCCAGGCAGAGAACATCTTCCCCATGTAAGGGGTGGGCAGAGAGAAAGAAGAACCCACAAAGGCAAAAAGTCAGAAAAAGGTGGAAGAAGCACCTGGGGCCTGTGTTGGCATGCCAACCCAGGGATGTGGGGTATTTCCAGGAGGGAACACTCAGCAGAAAAAGGAGAAAAGCTAGGTAGAAAAGGACTGAGGCCTCACTGCATGGAGGGACTGGGGGCCCCTAGATCCTCACCGGAGCAGTTTCCTGTGAGAAATGCAGCAGAAGCCCCGCAAGGAGAGCGGAATAAAATGAATAAAATGAAAGGGGAAGGAAAAGCCAACAGCATGGCCACCTGTCCTGAGGAGTCTGGGATACTGGGGAGAAGTGCTAGAGTTATGATTTGGGTCAAGGAGAATCTCAGCGCTGGGCTGAGAGGAAATAAGGGTAGATAAGACAGAAGAGAGGTTGAAAGGGCTGTCACCTAATGTGCCTCCTGTCTGTAGAAATCAGAGGTGAGATCAAAGGACAAGGTCAGTAGGGAGGAAAAAGGTCCATTGGTGACCTTGACTAGAGCTACTGTCAAGTAGGAAAGTATATATGCCAGTTGGGAACCCACAGAGGAAGTGTGGGCATGTCCTGACAGGGATAGATGGAGAACTAGGGATGAGCTTAAGGAGAAGGTGCAGAGTTCACAGAGCAGGGCCAGATACTGAGCTGTGGCTGACACTTTAGGAATGGATGCAGGCAGAGGATCTGCCAAGGAGACTGAGCAGGAGGGGCTAGAGGAGAAGACCAGAAAAGTGGGGGTCCCAGAAGCCCAGGGAGGTGAGAGTTTCCACAGGTCAGGGTGGCCACTGGTGGGCCAGATGCACAGAGGTCAGGGGAGGTGAGGACATCCCCCGGACCTGGTCTTGGGGACATTTGCCACAGCAACTTTGGGGGAGGGACTAGAAGCCCACCCAGGTGGGGGATGATCCGGAGTCTGGCTGAGAAAGCAAAAGGGGGAGCTGGGGGGGACAGCAGGGCCCAGGAAGGTGCTGTGTCTTAGCTGCTGACATTTGGAGGGAGGAGGGCTATGGGAGCCGAGTTTGAAGAGCAGCGACAGGTCATGCAAGGGGCCCCTGAGCGGTGGGATTAAGTGTAGAGGTGAAAGGATTAGCCGTGTTGGTGGAAAGGGGCAAAATTAAATCATGTACATTTTACGAGGTAAGCTGATCTCCATGTTCTTCTGGAGGCTTTTGCTCTGCCCTCTGGGTACCGACTACAGCTCTAATTAGCAGTGGTTTTGTCGTGCCTCGTGTCTGGGACCATGTCTTCCTTGGGTTTTGTACCTTTCGGCACCTGGCAACAGGCAGCGAGCGAGGTAGAGGCAGAATAATTATTTTCTGCTTGAAATCAAATGTGTGAAATGGAGGTTCAGAATTCTGTTTTATCACAAAGATTTTGTGACCATTCCCAGCGAATCAGTGAACAAGGAAATACAATTCAAGGTTGAGGCTGTTGTGGATGTGAGGCTGTCTGCCTCCCAGGAAATGCAAGCTGTACTCCTCTGTGGGCACAGCTCTTCATAGTTTACATGGTGGATCATTACATTTGTCTCCTTTGGTCATCACAACCCCATCCTCCTGCCCCTGGTGAGACACACAGCTACCATTAGCCCCATTTCACTTAGGAAGTCAGGACAGGCTGGAAGGAGAGAGTGAAGGGCAGTGAAGTGGATGGAAACTGGGCACCATCTTGAATGCTACGTTCACAGCCCACCAGCACATAGTGGTGGTATCTCATAGACATGGAATAATTCTCTTTCTTCCATATTTGAACAGAAGTCAAAATCAAGAGAGAGCCTTGGTCTAACTGGCTGAGCTCGGGCCTAGTGCCACCCTGACAGGACCCAGGTGGTGAAAAGCAGGGGCTGGAGGAGGCACATCTGTGGCTTTTGTGTGCAAGAGCAGCCCAGGTCCCACCACAGCCACATAAAATAGAGAACAGGACATTTCCATACAGGTAACAAGGGGCATTAGGAAGAATGAGGGACGCTAGAAAGCCCAAACCCCTAGACATCCAGTACAAGAAGTAACCAGCCCAGAAGCAGAGAGATCTGATAGGAAGCCATGGTCCAGATGAGGGAAGGAGGGGCCTGAACTAGACCAGTGGAAATGGACAGAAATAGATCAGAAACTTGTAGTAGCTAAAACCCAGAAATAATTGGTGTATGATTCACTATCAGGTAAGAGAGGGTGAAGATGAGGGTGATTCGTATGTGTCTGGGTGGGCCCTGGGTAGGTGGGAGGAAGGCCCCTGTATATGAGGAACACAGCATGGGGGCCAGTGTGAGGAGCCGGATGGTGGACTCAGATACAGCCAAGGGGTCAGGGTCATAGCCAGGTGGAGCCCAGCAGGCACTTGGATCCAGGGTCTGGGGCTCAGGAAGAGATTGGACTGGAAGTACTGGCCCAGGGCCATGGCCACTCAGAGAGTAATGGGAAGCCTGAGAATGAGTGAGATGGCCAGAGAGAGAATGGGACAGGGCCTAGGATAGAATCACGAGTTACAGTGACATGTGAGGAACCAGTCAAGGTGTGAGCAGGTGACAAAGGAAAGAGAAGGAAGGACCTCAGAGATGTGGACAAACAACTAGGAGAGGGGTTGCCAGGGCAACCAAAGTAGTGAGGCATTCCAAGGAGAAAGTAATCAACATTGTCAAATGCAGCAGAGAATTCCAATAAAGACAGAATTCTTTGGATTTCATGATTAGTAAGTTTTTGGTGACCTTAATAAGAGCATTTTGGGGGAGTAATGGGGCATAAACTGAACTAACATTCAGATGTGAGATTCACCAGGGAGGTGAATCTGTCACTAGGAGTCCTTTGAGGAGTCTGGAAGGAAGACTTGGAGAGGTGAAGGATTAGGGGTGGGGAGTTTGAACATAGGAAAGATGTGAGCAGGTTTATAGGCAGACATCAGCTTCCAAATGCAATAAGCATTGTTGAGTGACAAAATTTATTCATTCTACATGTTCTAATTTAGTGCCTATTATGTGCCTGGCAGTGTGCCTAGCAGCATGGATACTTGGGTAAATTAATTGAAATAGGCAGAATCCCTGTTCCCATGGAGCTTGCAAGGTAGGAGAGAGAAAGACAGGAAATGAAATAATGGCACGCACCAATATACAACATGGATAGGCACTCCGAAGGAGAGAAACTAAGTGCTAGAGGGTGTCCAACAAGGGGGCCTGTCCTAGGCTGACTCCAGGAGGCTTCCCTGTGGAGGCGACACTTGAACAAAGTTGTTAAGAAGGGGAAGGAGTTAATTGGACAGAGAAAATTGGGCAAAAGCATTCCGGGCAGAGGGAACAGCCTGTGCAAAAGGAGAGGAGGTGAGACCAGAAAGGCAGGCAATGCTGGCTGAGCGGGCCCTTGGAGGCCAGGGCTGAGCTCCAGTGCACATCCTGGAGCAAGGGGAGCAGGGCTGAGATCTGCTCTGATATGTCACTCTCATCTGAGACTGGCTGTGCTATGGAGAAATCAGAAGAAGCACAGGGAGACTTAGGGAGACCAGTTAAGAAGTGTTTGTGGTCATGGTAGACAAGATTTGGACACAGTCAACATAGTCTGGTTAGTCTTGGTGCTGATGGAATGAAGTAGGGCAGGGAGAGGAGGAGGGATTCTGAATGACCCCTGCATTTCTGGCTTGCCTTACTGGTGAGGTGGCAGTGCCGTTCTCAGAACTGGAAAGTCCTAGAAAGGGACGGGGTCTATGAGGCAGACCCGAAGTCTGGTGCTACACAGCTGAGACATCCAAGTGGAGATGGGGAGGAAGTGGCTGAATACATATATACCCAGAGCACAGAGTGAGAAATTACAGAGATGAACTCAGAGCTCCTGAGGGATCCGAAATGTGAATTAGAGTAGTGTCTGGGTTCTGGAACATTCTGAGGCTATGAAGGGTGGCTGAGGAAGAGGAGGCCTGAAACAGAGCCCGAGAAGTACCAACACTTGGGAGCCTAAAAGGAAAGAAGAATCCTCCTAGGGCACTGAAGAGAAAGGGCCAGAGAGTCTTTCAGCAGAAAGATGACGTGGTTAGCAGTGAGTATGTGCAGAGATGTCAGAGAGGACGGGGCTGATCCACGGACCCCTCCGGTGTGCAACTGCTCAATCACCATGGTGGCCCTGCTGATTGGCACCCACCAGGGCCTGTGCTCTGAGACCTTTTGGGGACCTTGAGTGAGGCAGCTTGGGTGGAGGTCAATTAAGGAAGAGGAAGCAAAGTCTAAGGCCTTTTCATTTTAATATTAAAGGAAAGAGCAATGCTGGCATATGAATATTCTGAGGGAAGCAAGCCTGAGTGATGAAGCGATTAAGGGTGGAGACAATTAGTGTGAAATGAGCTCCCAAAGGGACTGGGATCAAGTGTAGAGGTGGATAAATTCATTTGGGGCAATAATGTGTATCGGACTGAATGGGGCAAAATTAAATTATTTACCTTTTAGGGAGTGACTCGATCTCCATGTTCTTTGGGGAGCTTTTATCTGACCTGTGTACTGACTTCAGTGCTAATTAGATCAGTTTTATCCTGTCTCGTGGCCAGGATTGTGTCTTATTTTTTGTGTTTCTCAGCACCTAGCTGACAGGCGGTAAGCTCTTTGGGTGCTGAATCGGTATTTTCTGCCTTGGAATCAAATATCTGAAATCAACACTCGAACTTTCTGACCAAAAAGAATCTATGACAATTCTCCAGAAGTTACAATGCAGGAAAGAACTGGGGCATTATTAAGTCACGAGTGGGAGGGGTTTGGGTGAGTGGAGGAGCCAGCTCCCCTCATCCTTGTAAGCTCCATACCATTTGTGCATGTTCACATTCATCATCCCAAGTGAACTTCACGTCCCCCCCACGAGATAAAGCGTGACCCAGTGTCATCGAGGAGGAAACAGAAGCCAGAGGAGGAAGAGCCTTGCTGACGCAGAGCACAAGTGGCGGGAGCTAGGTTCAGACCTCAGTGCATCTAGTCTAACAGTCCTTCCCAGGACCAGGCTGAGCTGGAGAAAGAGAAAGAGAGGGGGTCCGGGAGGTGGAGGAGGAGATGCTCCGCGGGCATGCGCAGAAGGGTGGAGGCGCAGTCCAACTCCGGACCTCCCGGATATTAAAGCACCAAATCCAGCCGCAGCGATGAAATCTCGGGTGCTACCACACGAGAGCGGGTGGTGCTCTTGTTTGAGCCTCCCCACCGCATGAATGATATGTACATTCTCTATTTGCGTCTCAAACTTCTGTATTTTAAAAAATTTAAGTCTTTAACCCATCTGAAATGTATTTTTTGCGCATGGTGTGACCCAGAGATCTGATCTGATCTTTTTCCAGATGGATAACCAGCTTGCTAAGCACCATTTATTGTCCCAACACCATCTTTTCTCCCAGTTCCCTATGTCTAGACTCTATTCAGATCTGTTGATCTATTTGTCTACTTCTGAGCCAATACCAGACTTTAATGAGCAGAGCTTTCTCTTATTGCCTGATAAGGTAAGTACCCCTCCCTCCCTGGCCTTTTGTTCTTTTTAAAAATTACTTTGGTCATATTGCCCATTTACTTTTTCATATACATTTTAGAATCAGCTTATCAAAGTTCCATGAAAAAAATTTTATTGGAGTTTTGAGTGGGATTGCATTGAAGGGAAGAGGAACACCTCTAGGTTACCAGTTCTTCTCATCTGTGAACATGGTATCTGTCTCCATTTAATCAGGGCCTTATCTCTTGGGTTTGATTTTTAATGCCTTTTAATAAAACTCAGCCACTTTTGCCATAAAGGTTTTTCACATATCTTAATAGGTTTATTCCTGAGTACCTTATCAGTTTTGTTGCTTTTGCAAGTGGAAGAAGTTTTCCTTTTCTCTTTTGGCTTTCCAAATTTTAGTCAATTTACTAATCACCATGCTTCATTCACAGACACACTCCGAGTAAATGTGCTTTGTCCCTGGGCACATAAATGAGAACACAGCACACATGTAAAGCAGAGCTAATTGGCTAGAAACGAATTAGAATTTTTGAATTAAATTTTAATTATACAAGTAATACATGAACACATTTTCCTTTAAATAAAATTAGAGTGTTACAGATAAAGTCTCTGCTGGATTCCCCCGCCCCGCCCCATCTCTGCCTCAGGCCCCTCCCCTCCTTTAGAGGTAGGGTAGCTGCTGCTCTTTGGCTTTTTGCTGTTTGTTTAAAATGTTTTCTTATGCCCATTGAAACACATCTTCTGTTCTCTTTTTGTGTGTGTTTGTCTGCACAGACATGGTGTGTACACACTGGAGGTGTTGCTCTCAGCTTAGTGTACCCTACAAGACTCCTGGTGTAGCTTGTTGCAGCTCGAGACTGGTGGCCATAACCCATTACACCCCGTGTGATTTCCTTGTTTCCCATTCACTGACTGCTAGAATGTTTCCAGTGCCATTCCATTGAGACGCACCTCCAACAGCATCCTTGTACATTGCCCGTTTTACACATGTACAAGTGTTTCTCTGGGACAGATAGTCAAAAATGGAATTGATGGGTCACAGGGTATATACATCTTTAATTCTAATAGAAACTGCTAAAATGTTCTCCAAAGTGCCTTACTAATGTAATCTCCTGCCAGCAGCGTATAAGCATCCATTTCCCCAGACCATTTCCAAGTTTTACATTTTTAACCAGTCTGATGAGTGAAAAATAGTATTTTGTTTTAGTTTGAATTTTTCTGAATTACCTACAAGACTGAAGTCTTCATGTGTTTACTGTCCATTTATATTTCCTCCTCTGGATTGCTTGTCCATATCCTTTGCCTATTTTTTAAGGTTGTTTTTTGTTTTGTCTTTTTGCTATTGATTTTTAGGAGTTCTTTATGTATTTTGAATACTTATACTTTGTTATGTATATTGCAAGTGTTTTCTGCATTGTGATTCTTGTCATTTAATTATATGGTATCTTTTGTCCTAGAGAAATTTTAAATTTGATATAATAATCAAATTTATCAATCTGTTACATCTTTTTTACAGTCTTATTTATGAAAACCTTTGCTATATGAAGGTCATAAGCATTTCCTTCTCTAAAATCTATAGTTTACATATACATATATATTTAAGCCTTTATACAAGAAATAAATTCCATGTGCATGAATCTTAGGATCTGATTTTAAATCACCCATCCCCAAATAGACAGGTAATTGTCCCCATACCACTTGTAATAATATATCATTTCTCCACTGATTTAAAATTGGTACCTTACCTGACACTAAATTCCAATGTGGGTCTATGTCAGAGCTCTTTCTGGTCCACTAATCTATTTGTCTACTCCCAAGCTTGATAATATGCTTTGCCGACTGGCAGGACAAATCCCACCCTCTTTGTTGTTTTTGCAAAATTGCCTTGGTCATCCTTGCATATTGGTCCCACCACATGAATTTTAAACCAGCCTGCCAAGTTTCAGGAAAAATTGAATTGGGATTACTTGGAGTTTCTGGATAAGTTAGAAGAAAACTGGCATCTCGGGCATGCTGAGTCTTCCTACCAGTACACGGGGCTACGTGCACCTCTCTCGGCTCTGGTCATCTCTTAGATCTTCCGAGGAAGTTTTACATTTTCCTCTGGTCAAAGTCTCACATAGTTCTTGATAAATTGATTCTTGGATTTAGTTTAGGTTTGGCGGTCACCTGAGAATGGAATCTCCTCTCCCTTTATTTGTTTGGCTCCTGTTTCTCCTTATTCCATTTCAACCCATCTACTAATCACTGTGCTTGGTTTGCAGACACACACACAAAGTAAATGTTCTTCCTCCCTGGGCACAAATATGAACATAGCCAAACACACAGAGCTGGCATAATTGGCTGAAAACAAGTGAGAATCTTTTCAAATTATACTTTAATTAAACACGCAAAGCATGAATACAGTCTCCTTTTTAAAAGTAGAACAATACGAATACAGCTAACGTTTCCTTTGGCCACCTGATATCCTGGTCCCTCCCCCCTCCATGGAAGTGACTACTGTTCCCAGTTTTATATGTTGCCTTCCATAGTAAATATGTAGTATTAATGGAGGCATTTTGAATTAATTATACCACATCGTAGGGATTATACTGTATCCTGCATTTTTCATTACCTTCATTTCATACATTTCCTTTTTCATTACATTCATTTCGTTACAGTATTACATTATTGAGATCTACCCATGTTGTTGACATACCAGCTCTTGTTCGTCCTTTTCACAGCTACGTGATACTCCTTCACATGACTGGACCATGTTTCCCCTATTCTAGCGTCCAAGACCCTGACAGGCTTTCCCCCCTATTATGAAGAATACTGATGGGAGGGGCGCCTGGGCGGCTCAGTTGGTTAACTTCCTTCTGCTCGGATCATGAGCCCAGGGTCCTGGGATTGAGCCCCACGTCGGGCTCCCTGCTCAGCGGGGAGCCTGCTTCTCCCTCGGCCTGCCTCCCCTCCACCCCCGCTTGTGCTCTCTTGAGTGCAGTCTCTCTCTCAAATAAATAAATAAAATCTTAAAAAAAAAAAAAAAAGAATGCTGTTGGGAACATCTTGATACTTGCTTCATCCCGAAATGTTTCTGTAGAGTAGGTACTGAGAGTGGAACTCTGGCCTCTATGGTGTCCACTGTTATAGTTTTAATAGACATGGCCCAAGTTGGCTTCTGGAGTGGCTATGACAACTTAAACTCCCTCCACCAGTGAATGTAAATCCTTGTTTCTCCAGACCATTGCCAGCTTGTAAAGTTTCCAGATCTAATGGGTGAAAAAATGGTTTCTTCTTGGTTTAATTTGTGTTTTCCTGAGTAACTGGTCCTGCTGTAGTCTCCTCATGGCTCTCCTGGCCGTTTATGTTGTATCACGTTGGAGGTATTGTACGTGCCCCCCCACTTGTCCATCTTTCTTCTGGGTGTCCTTTTCATACTGATTTATGGGGATTCTTATGTACTCTTGATAGTACTTCCCTGTCTGCCATATGCATTATGTAGAATTCTCTACCATTCTGACCTTTGTCTTTTAACTGCAGTGTATCTCTTATTACACAACTTTTTATTGCTATGTCAAATTTATAATCTTGCCTTAAGAAGACCCTCTTTACACTAAGATCACAACCATTTTTCCTCTTTTTTTCTAAAGCTTTTATAGTTTTCTCTCTTGCATGTATATTTTACATTATTTTGCAATTTTCACATTTAAGTCTTTGTTGTATATGAAGTTTATTTTTAGTGTGATATTGGTGTTTAACTTTAATAAATTTCAAACCTGATAACCAGTGTTTTTCAGTCCATTTACTGGAAAATCTGTCATTCCTCCACTGATTTAAAATTGCTACCTTCAGGGTGCCTGGGTGGCTCAGATGGTTAAGCGTCTGCCTTCGGCTCAGGTCATGATCCCAGGGTCCTGGGATCGAGTCCCACATCAGGCTTTCTGCTCAGCGGGGAGCCTGCTTCTCCCTCTGCCTCTCTCTCTCTCTGTCTCTTATGAATAAATAAAATCTTTAAAAAAAAAAATGCTACCTTCATCTGACACTAGATTCCAGTATGGGTCTATGTCGGAGCTCTTTCTGGTCCACTAATCTATTTGTCTACTCCCAAGCTTGATAATATGCTTTGCCAACTGGCGGGACAAATCCCACCCTCTTTGTTGTTTTTGCAAAATTGCCTTGGTCATCCTTGCATATTGGTCCCACCACATGAATGTTAAAACCAAGGTACCACAACATGAAGGTTAAAACCTGCCAAGCTTCAGGAAAAATTGAATTGGGATTATGAGTTTCTGGATAAGTTAGAAGAAATCTGGCATCTTGGGCATGCTGAGTCTTCCTACCAGTGCACGGGGCTACATGCACCTCTCTCAGCTCTGGTCATCTCTTAGGTCTTCCGGGGAAGTTTTACATTTTCCTCTGGTCGAAGTCTCGCATAGTTCTTGATAAATTGATTCTTGGATTTAGTTTAGGTTTGGCGGTCACCTGAGAATGGAATCTCCTCTCCCTTTATTTGTTTGGCCCTGTTTCTCCTTATTCCATTTCAACCCATCTACTAATCACTGTGCTTGGTTTGCAGACACACACACACAGTAAACGTTCTTCCTCCCTGGGCACAAACATATGAACATAGCAAAACACACAGAGCTGGCATAATTGGCTAAAAACAAGTGAGAATCTTTTCAAATTATACTTTAATTAAACATGCAAAGCATGAATACATTCTTCTTAAAAGTAGAATATGAATACAGCTAAAGTTTCCTTTGGTCACCCTCTGAAAGCCTAGTTTCCTACCCCCTCCACAACTTTATGGGTCTCCTTTCATAGAAATACATAGTACTGATGTAGATATTTTGAATGAATCATCCCACTTTATAAGGATTTTACTGTAAGCTGCATTTTTTCACTCAATCATATATTTTTAGGATATACTCAAATTGATGCAATGGCTCTTGCCGGTTCCTTTTAATAGCTGTATTGTATTCATTCCTCTGATTATACCACATTCTCTCTCCTCTAAGATCTGGGAACAAATGTGGTTGCTTTCTTTTCTTTCCTCCATCATAAGCAGCGCTGCAGAAAACAGCCTTGCACATGCTAGCTCTGTAATTTTTCTCTAGGATTGAGAATGGAATTTGGGGTCTCAAGGTGTCCACATTTTTAGTTTTAACTGATACTACCAAAGTGTCCTCCATAATTTCTGTACCATTTAAACTTGCAGTAAGAGGATAGGAGAGGACTCAAATCCCATACCATAAGCAGCTGTTTTAAATATTTGCCAATCTAATGGGCAAAAAATGGAAGCATTTTTTATATTTCTGTATACCTGTTTGCAAGTGAGATTTTCCTGGGCACTGCTGTTTATATTTTCCCTTTTCTGAATTATCTGTTTATTTTTGCTCATTAAAAAAATTAGATGGTTTCTCTTTATCATATTGATTTGTGGAATTTCCTAATATAATCCAGATATTAATCTCTTGTATATACATGGCGAATATTTTCTTCCAGCTCGTCTGTTGCCTTTAACTCTTTGCAGGCTCTTTTAGACAGAAGTTATCAATTTTGACCTAATCAAATGTATCAGTCTTTTCCTTTATTCCTTTTTTTTAAGATTTTTTTAAAATTTATTTATTGAGAGAGAGAGAGAGAGAGCATGAGAGGGAGGAGGGTCAGAGAGAGAAGCAGACACCCTGCTGAGCAGGGAGCCCGATGCGGGACTCGATCCTGGGACTCCAGGATCATGACCTGAGCCGAAGGCAGTTGCTTAACCAACTGAGCCCCCCAGGCGCCCTCCTTTATTCCTTTTATGTATACATCACATTTATGCCTTTCTCACTCCTACATTTAAATATATTGTGTACTCTTTTCTAATAAATTTGCCTTTATTTGGGTCTTTCATACATCTGCAATACATTTTTATGGTTGAAATGAGGTACGATCTAACCTCTCCCTGAACGTACCACTGACTATTGCCATGCAGGAGACGGACGAGCTCATCCTTTCTCCGCTGATCCGAAGTAAAGCTCCCTCACACCCTGAGTTATGGTGTCTAGGCTGGTGTGAGGCCCCTGTTCTGTTCCACTGGTCTGTATATTCCTGTCTGTACCAGACTATTTTATCTGCTAGAGCTTTATGCTACCTTTTGATATCTCTTAAGTAAAATGCTCCATTGCATTGTGCTTCCTTTTCAATTATCTAAGCGAACTATTACTGCACATTAACTCCCCCACACGAATTTTTAAAACTGCTTGTCAAGTTCTGTGAATTTCAAGATTAATTTGGTGAAAATTGACATCAATACAATACTGAGCCTTTTCATCTGGGAGTACATTTATTCTGATCGCCTTGTGTCTCTTCAGTTAAATACTTTTCTCCATCAAGAACCTACCCATTTCCTAATGGGTTTATTCCTGTATTTTTATTGTTGTGAACGAGTTCTCTCTGCACTCCCTTTTTTGTTTTGCTTTTGCTTGCTACATTTTTAAAAAATCTACTTCCTAATCACTGTACTTCATTCACAGACACACACAAAGTAAACGTTCTTCCTCCCTGGACACAAACACGCGGCCACTGCCAAACACACAGAGCCGGCATAATTGGCTGAAAATGAATGGGAATTTTTTCAAATTAAAGTTTAATGACACAAGCGAAACATGAATACATTCCCCTTTTTGAAAAATAGAACATTGCAGATGATGCTGAAGTCCCTTTTGGTCACCCACTGCCTTCCCATTTCCTCTCTCCTCCCCAGAGGTAATCGCTGTAATGGGTTCACTGTGCACTTTGCTAGACTTTCTGAAAACTTCTAAATTCATAGATAGGTACGCACAGGAAATATATGTTAGAGTTGTCTCAAATAATGAGAATTTTGTCTTTTCCCTTCCAGTTTTCATTGATACTCAATTTTTGTATTGACCTGGATTTTATTATGGTTACAGAATAAAATGTCAGTGTTATCACCTGTCACAATGTGAAAGGAAAGATATAGAAGTCGGGAGAAAGCACTGGGAGGGGGGCAGTGAGTGGGGCTGACGGGGTGATGGGGGGAGGCAAGAGCTTCTGTGGGCTTGCAATGGAACAAAGCGTGAGGGGCAAGTGGATTTCTTAAAAATTGAAAAGATAACCAGTAGAGGTACTTTAAAACTGTGTTGGGAGAAGCAGGGATGGAAGGGAGTACTTTCCAAGTGTCCTAAAGCCTACTGTGCCATGTGGGACATCAGTGGATCTCATGAACTAGAAATAGGAGGTAGCAGATGCTGTTCAGAGAACTCTTGTAACCCAGGTTTGTCTAGGGTCTTATAAGGAAACATCTTCAGGCAGCTTCAAGGAAGTACTTTGTTTTCTGATTAAGGTGATGCACCTGGAGAACTTTCTTGGCTCTGCCCCTTCCTTTCTGCCTAGGAGATGTTGGGTGAAAATGTGATGCATGGAGGGGCACCTGGGTGGCTCAGTCACTTGAACATCCAACTCTTGATTTCAGCTCAGGTCATGATCTCAGGGTCGTGAGGTTGAGCCCCACATCGGGCTCCATGCTGGGTGGGGGGCCTGCTTGAGATTTTTCTCTCTCCCTCTGCTCCTCCTCTCTCTCTCTTTCTCTCCCTCCCTCCTCCCCGTCTTGAAAGAAAGAGAGAGAAAGAAAGAAGAAAGAAAGGAAAGAGAGAGAGAGAAAGAAAAGAAAGGAAGGAAGAAGAAAGAAAAAGAAAAAGAAAGAAAAAGAGAAAGAAAGAAAGAGAAAGAAAGAAAGAAAGAAAGAAAGAAAGAAAGAAAGAAAGAAAGAAAGAAAGAAAGAAAGAAAGAAAGAAAAAGAGAAAGAAAAAGAGAAAGAAAGAAAATATGATGTGTGGAGCTCTGGCAGTCATCATGTGACCAGGAGGGGAAGGCCAGGAGATGCAGCTGTCTCCTGACTCAGAGACTGGTCCTAGAACCACTGATTTCTGTCTGGGCTTTTCATTCTCTGAAATAAATAAATGTTCTTACTCTTTAAGCCACTTTTAGGTGTTCTGTTAGATGCCGATGAAAGCGTCCTTCCTATTACAAGAGATCTAAGAGCTCTTTAGAGTTGGGGAAATGACCTCAAGGAGCAGATCACATACTCTGGGATGGGAGTTTAGGGGTGGGGAGAAGGTGGAGAAGGCTGCTCTTCATCAAAGTCCTGCCATTCTCTCGGATTTTTTTTTTAACTATGTGTATGTATTACATGGAAAGAAATAAAAAATGATTTTTTTGAACAAGTCTGATAAGTATGTTAAAATGTAACTAGTGGTTCCCTCTGGTTACCTTAGGTATGTAGCAACTTTCTAAGATGTCCTCAAATTATTTCTGTAGTTAAAAAAAAGTCCAAGACCCAGGTTTTTAAGAGACGGCACATGAGAGAGGTGAATTTTGAGGCAGGGAAAGGAAGGAGCTCGGAGATGAAATCCTAGACAAAGACCTCTCACCTGGCCCTGCAAGGACTGCTACAGGCCCGGGGCACATGTGGCGCAGGAGAGCAGTGACACGTCAGGCCGGCCAGCACACACAGGGCGTCATGCTGAGGAGTTTGAGCTTTCATCCAAAGGGTAATGAGGAACCAGGGACACGCTGACGCAGAGAGATGGGTGTGAGCCCATTCTCATGTAGTCATGTTTCTTCTGTGCCAGGCAGGGAAGCTCAGCTCAAACCCGCTCAGGCAGAATGAGAACTCAGTTGACTTTTATAACCAAACCACAGGCCAGGCTGGGCCTCTAGGTCCCCTGGAGCCAGGGACTTGGCCATCAGACCCTCCCTCTTGTCTCCGGGCCACCCCATCTCATGGCCTACCAGCCTCCCTCTCTTGGGCCTGCTTCTTCCACATACTGGCACTCATGGCTACGCACGTCTCACTTCCTTCAGGTCGTGACCAAAAAGACTCAGGGGGAAGGGCAGGAGTTTGGTTAAGAGACCACACTTGAGGGCGCCTGGGTGGCTCAGTTGGTTAAGCAACTGCCTTCGGCTCAGGTCATGATCCTGGAGTCCTGGAATCGAGTCCTGCATCGGGCTCCCTGCTCAGCAGGGAGTCTGCTTCTCCCTCTGACCCTCCTCCCTCTCATGCTCTCTGTCTCTCATTCTCTCTCTCGCAAATAAATAAAATCTTAAAAAAAAAAAAAAAAGAGAGAGAGACCGCACTTGAGGGCGCCTGGGTGGCTCAGTCATTAAGCGTCTGCCTTTGGCTCAGGTCCTGATCCCAGAATCCAGGGATCGAGTCCCGCATCGGGCTCCCTGCTCTGCGGGAAGCCTGCTCCTCCCTCTCCCTCTGCCCCTGCTTGTGTTCCCTCTCTTGCTGTGTTGCTCTCTGTCAGATAAATAAATAAAATCTTAAAAAAAAAAAAAAGAGGCCTCGCTTGAGTCAGTGCTTCTGGCTACTCATTCTTTTGTCCAGTTGCTCTGTCCTCAGCACCCTCGTCTGCGGACACCCACATTCATAATAACAGCACCAGCCTTATTAACACCAGAGTGTTATGAGGGTCCTGCTTGGACCTCAAAGGAGATGGTGTCTGTGAAGGGCTTCACTGGGGCCTGGCATGGAGTGAGTGCTCCATAAGTGTTAGGAACTCTCTGTTCCCAAGTTAAAAAATCTGGGGACAGGCTCAGATTGGCCCAGCCTAAGTCAGCGGTTCAATCACCCCTGGCTAATCAGTGATGGCCAATAAGGTGAATCCCATTCAAAATAGGTTGGAACTATGGAAAGAGCCAAGATGTCCATCAACAGATGAATGGATAAAGAAGATGTGGTATATATATACAATGGAATATTATGCAGCCATCAAAAAAAATGAAATCTTGCCATTTGCAACGACGTGGATGGAACTACAGGGTATTATGCTAAGCAAAATAAGTCAATCAGAGAAAGACAAGTATCATATGATCTCACTGATAAAAGGAATTTGAGAAACAAGACAGAGGATCACTGGGGAAGGGAGGAAAAAATGAAACAAGATGAAACCAGAGAGGGAGACAAACCATAAGAGACTCTTAATCTCAGGAAACAAACTGAGGGTTGCTGGAGTGGAGAGGTGTGGGAGGGATGGGGTGGCTGGGTGATGGACACTGGGGAGGGTATGTGCTATGGTGAGCGCTGTGAATTGTGTAAGACTGATGAATCACAGACCTGTACCTCTGAAACAATACATTATATGATTTAAAAAAAAAAAAAGTAGGAAGGGGAAAATAAAGGGGGGGAAATCGGAGGGGGAGACGAACCATGAGAGACTATGGACTCTGAGAAACAAACTGAGGGTTCTAGAGGGGAGGGAGGTGGGGGGATGGGTGAGCCGGTGATGGGTATTAAGGAGGGCACGTATTACAAGGAGCACTGGGTGTTCTACGCAAACAATGAATCATGGAACACTACATCAAAAACTAATGATGTAATGTATGGTGACTAACATAACATAATAAAATTAAATTAAAAAAAAAAAGGTTGGAGTACAGAGTGACTAACCAGGAGAGATGGTGCTGGTCTAGGTAAAGAAAACAATGGATGTATCCTGTTATCCCTCCGCTGTCTGCAGACAAGGCCCCATAAGCCTAGAGGGAGGGAGGGTACCTAAGAGGCCATCACAGTTGTCCCTGAGAAATGTTGCAGGCCTGAGCTAACGTGTGGCTGGAGAGCAGGTGGATTCAAGAGAGGATGTGGAGGTAGAACTAGGGAGCATGGTGCCAACCAAGCATGAGAGATGAGAGAGAATGAGAGGTTGAAGGGGGCCCCAGGTTGCTGACCCAGAAACCGCCACAAACAGAGCCTGGCCAAAGCATAGCTTTATTTCTCCAGGACTCAAGTTCGCTCTACCACCCCCGCCCCTTTCTGATCAGCAGCAAAAACTTAAACTTAGTTCAAGGTAAATGCGATCACTTCTGGGCTTGGCCTAAGTCTCTCTTAAAAAAATTCTTGGTCTACTTCCAGCTTTTCTGCTTCCCATGACTCCTTCCTTTCTCCCTGAGGGTAGTCTTTGTTCGGGGGTCTCCTATTTTGCCCTGGCACCAGGGGATACATCTGATCCTGGATGACCAGGATCTATCCACTGCCATTCACTGAGCCAAGACATCCCCCTGAGTCCTTGTCCTGACCACAAAGCATGTCCCAGTCTGCCAGTTCCACTCTCCCACTTACCACCATCCATACCTTGCTAATGGGGACACACGGGACCCAGGGGGACACCCTCAGGACTCTCAACTTCTCCAGCCCAAGCTGTGGGGGAGGGGGTGGTCTTCTGGGCAACATCATGAAGATCCAGGCAACAAGCCCTTCTACTCTTTTAC